AGTCCATTGAAAAGCTTTTTCACGATTGAAATAGATTGTCAAACAATCGATTAGTTTTTCATAAGATGAATTTGAAGAATCATTTGTATCGTATTAGATTAACATCTAGGAGAAAAAAAAAGAATTTTTACTTGTCCTATTTTCTGTATAATCACAGATTATGTACTCTATGTACTTTAATCTTAAACTGAAATCTCTTTTCTGTATTAAAAGTCAAGCAAAAAAGACTCAATCGGTACATTTCGGACTGTTTCTAATTTGATCAGTCATAGAAATCAATTAATGTCATTTATAAATCTATTTATAGACTACTTCTGAAGGTCAACTGTCATAGTATTATTTGTCATAAATATTTTCAAGCATAAATGTTATTTATCTTCTAATTGTTTCTTTTCTCATTTTTATTCTTTGGTTTCCAACTGATGTCATATTCTTTCATTTATACATTGACTATCAATAAAATCCAAAGATTCATTGAAAGTAATTCAACATTCCAATAGCATATATTACGGTATACTATTCAAATAGAAAACACAATAGAAATCTTGATGAACTCAATCCAAGTCATTACAAAAATATTTTCCTACAGATGAATTTTTCAGTTCAATTACACACTGTTGAACATACTTAATATTAACACCTGAATAAGTATTATATATATTCAAATATATGTATGCAAATATTATCAGTCCTTCTTCGAAAGATATTTCCATAATTAAGATTTACTGGAGCAAGACCTTCGAAGTTTAACATTCAAATATCGATATTAAATAATTATAAATTTATAATATTTATTATATGAATTTTTGACCATTATTTGTATTTATTAGAATAAATTAAAAGCAAATGGAATGCAAATAAACATACATTTTGCACCAGTTGAGGACATTTGACTTTTCATATTGAATTATACATTATGTATGGATGTAATGTTCTATTGAATTGTAAACAAGAAGAATAAAACATTTAAAATCAACGTCTATATTTAGTCAAAAACAATATTTTGAAAATTTACAGATTGCACTTAATAGAATTTAATATTTTTCCATAATTAAAAGAAACCTGATGTATTTCAAAAATTTCGCATTAAGTATTCATATTTTTCAATTCTAAACGCTGTTGGTGACAAAATGTATTTTTTGAATAATCATTAAGAGAGAGAGAGAGAGAGCATATTTATTATAACAACTAGTGATGTTTTGAATAAACACTCAACTACATCGGAAAAAATGCTGCAGAATAACATCAACACATCGAGGTCTTCTTATACAATATAGGAGATAACTGTCAATAGTCTTGTTTTTCCAGGCTTATTCTGAGTAGAAAACATCAGACTTAATCTATTTACACAATCGACAAAAAATCTATTATCTCGAGAATCTTACTAAAAGAACAGCTATATATATATATATGATGTTTTTTTATTTTATTTCCAGTGTCTCTGTGTTTTTATTTTTATTGAAATGACTTTCTAGATCAAAAAAAAAAAGAAAACGAAAGAAAACAAGAAGCATAAGCGATAGAAGAAAGAAAAAAAAATTGATTTAAGAAAGCAAGTGATAACAACACATGTGATGAATAAAGAACACAAAACTCAATGAGATAATAAAGAAGAAATATAAAGAATGAATGATGTCAAGAAAAATCTCTTTCTTTTTTAAGAATTATGCTAGAAAAAAAAAAAAGAAAAACATTAGGTGGAAATAGCTAAATTAATAACATAACAATGATAATGCAATCAATAGCAAATAGTATACCATTGAAAATTTAGAAAAAACCAAAGGTGAAAAAGAAGATGTTCTGCTCACCATTTTGTCTTTTCTCTCTGTCATTTAAATTACGGTACGAGAGAAAAATCAAACATCATTACATGATCAAAATGAATCAGGAAAGTAGAAAGGATACGAGCACAAATAAGCTCAAAGATATTATTTTTATATACACGATCGATCAAAAGGAACAAATAAACAAACAAACAAAAAAAAAAACAAAACAAAACATTTTTCTTTTTCTTTTATTATCATTGTTTATTTCTTATTAGCTTTAGGTTGAGTTTGAGGTGCAGCTGTAGTTGGTGCACGTGGTGGTGTCAATGGTCGCCCACTACTAAGACCACCGTACTGATATTTAGCTTTTTTCTCACTTGGTTTTAAAATCTAATTAAGAAAAAAAGAAACTAATCATATATATAATATAAAAGAAAAGTGAAAATATTTACTTGAAATGAACACATAAGTGTTTCATCAACAGACATCATTCCACCTGCATTATCGAATTCACCACAATAATTAGGTGCTGAAAATAATGTTACTAATTGACGTTTAGCAAAAAATTCATAACCATCTTCAACAACCTATTTAATTATAAATAAATTTAAAAAAATATTTTTTTTTTTCTATTAATATCTCTATACTTGATGAGCTCGACAAATTAAATCCATATCATGTCTATTTAAAAACTAAAAAAAAAATAAATAAATAAATGAAAAATTTTATTCATACGAACAAAAATAATTTCATTGACATACTTTAGCTACAACATCCGCGCCGAATGTAAATGAAACACCACGATCATTTTCACCCCAGCCTTGGGTTTCTTTATCCGGATCGGACCTGTCATAAAATAATGCAAAAAAAATGAGTCAACAAAGAAACTAAAGAAAAACAAGTTAATTACACACCATAACAAATCGCATAGTAAACCTAGTAAAAAGAAAAAGAATAGAAAATTATGAATAGAAAATTTTCTAGTTTAGATTATATACCAGTATCAGGAACATCTGTTGGACGCATAATTCGTCGAATTTGTTCCATAGTTTGTAGGTCGGGAGATAAACCTTCAATTCAAAAGAACAAAAATAATTACAAAATAATAATGAGTATTTTGAATTTATAAAAATAGATCTCTTTATTTATCACTCTAGCTTATAAAATCTCGTCATTGTATTTATTATCAAAAATTATAATGTCCGGAAATAGAAAATTTACTATATTTAGATTATGAGTCAAAAAAAAAGCAAATCATCGTTGATGTTTAGTCCCTAGTTGATCAAGGATAAAATTATCAAATAGATTTGAATGTATGATTACTTTTCACATAGTAATGTCAAAAAGTATGATCATCAATCTTGTTAATCTTTCTTTTAATAGATATGAATTAAACCTTATTTTGATGAGATAGACTATGTCTTTCTTTTTTTTATGACAATATATATCGAAATTATACCTCCGTGACAACAAAAGATTTTTTCATCAATTATAGCAGCAATAGGTAAACAATTAAAACAATCGGTAAATGTTTTCCATAGTTTAATATTAAAACGACGTTTACCTAAAACATATACATATATATATATATGAAAAAAAAATTTCTCTTGATTTATATATCTTCTTCTTACACTCATCATAAAATCCATAAATTCGATTAATCGAAGCACATTCATGATTTCCACGTAAAAGAAAAAAATTTTCTGGATATTTTATCTAGAAAATAAAAAAACAAATATTAATTATTTAAATTAACCGAACAAAGAAACCTTATAAGCAAGTAGTAAACAAATTGTTTCAAGTGATTGTTTTCCACGATCAACATAATCCCCAAGAAATAAATAATTTGATTCAGGTGGAAATCCTCCATATTCAAATAAACGTAATAAATCAGTATATTGTCCATGAATATCACCTAAAAAACAAAATGAAATATAAAAAAAAATCATAACAAAATACATCATTCTTTTTTTATTACCGCAAATTTTTAATGGTGCTTCAAGTTCAAGTAAAATTGGTTGACTAAGGAATATTTCACGAGATTTTAAACATAATCCACGTACTTCACCCTCCGACATTTGAACAATTTTTCCCGGTCGACATCCACGTACTAGACAAACAACAATAATATTTCTTATGAAAAAATTAATATTTTGTTTTATTTGTTATCAAATTTTACCTTCGAGTAATCGTGCTATCAAATGATCAACATTAAGTTCAGTATCTCCTGCCATATTTATATACTCTACAAAAAAAAAAATGAAAAACTACCGATTTATGTGTGTGCAAACATACATTTGTTTGTTGCTTTTTTTTTTCTTCTACCCTTAGTCGTTCACACTCGTTCTTTCTTATTGGCGTCTATGGTAACGTCTTGTGGGCATTTTTTTGTTTCACAAAAGCTCTCGATTGGTAAAAGAAAAAGAATAAATATGCAATGATGATAGCGATAGAAGGGTTTCAGTTATGAGTGAGAAGGGCAAGACAGTAGAAAGAAAAAAAATGGCAATGAAGATGTCGTTGTATAATATTTCAACACAATAAAAATATTTAAATAAATGAAAATTTTTCTAATTTTAATTTTTTTTTTATAAATAAATTTTAATCAAAAAGGTTATTAAGTAATTTTTTAATAGATTGGTCTTCGAAAAGTATGCTATGACTCATTGAATAATTTTCGTGTATCATTAATATTTATTTAGCTTGCATCACATTTATTTTCAAAAAACAAAACGTAAAAGCAATGTCTGGTCGTCAGGGTGGTAAATTAAAACCATTGTATGTTTGATTTTTCTTTTAATTAGTGATTTTTGTAAGATGAGTTTATGTCATTTTTTCTTAGAAAAAATCCCAAAAAAGATGAAAAGGAATTGGATGAAGATGAAAAAGCATTTAAAGAAAAACAGCGTGAAGAACAAAAGAAACTTGAAGGTAATTGAAAAAGAATATCGATCTTTTTTTGTTTTATTCTATTCATTGTCTTTTTTTATTATTTTCTAGAAGCCAAGAAGAAGGCAACTGGTAAAGGTCCACTTAAATTGGGCAAATAAATAATTATAAATTTTTCTGGCTTACAATAAACTCATGATTATTAATATATTCATCTATTGAATTTTGTTTTTTTTTTGTTTCTTCTTCATCTAATAAATATATTCTGGAAGGTTCTGGTGCTAAATATTTTCCTACATTGTAGATAAACCTCTTGTTATTTCTTTTTTTTTTTGTTTTGATTGAATGGGATTTATTAAATTTTATAAAACTCGTTTAAGTCCAATTGTTACTATAACTGCTATTCTCGTTGGTATTCATATATCTTGGTGGTCAATTCAACAAAAGTTAGTTACGAAAAAGATATATGAAATGAACTTTTTCTTTTTTTTTAAATATGTTAATTTTTCTAGTCCAGCACTTGTTGCACCTTCTCAACGTCGTCATCATTTATTAGGATTTCGTATTCCTTATTTATCGCCACCTGTTGTCGATAACGACAAGAAAGATTGAATGACTACAAAACAATCAACAATTGGATACGATCCGTTTAGTGTTAAACCATTACAGATTCGTACGAGACGAATATTTGCACCTAGTGGAGGTTCGATTTCACTAACAACAGCTACGATTCTTGTTGCTACATTGTCTGCATATTTTTATTTCTTAGTACCACTTGAATATATTAGGTAAATAAAAAAAGAGAGAGAGAGAGAGAGGTGAAAAAGAAAAATTTATTTTCTAATTTTAGACCTGATATAATCGGTTGGAATCGTACAGCTCGTGCTCGAGAAGCACTTACTAAAACACAAGACAAAAGACAATAATTTTCATAAAATTATCATCATCACAATTATGGGTTTATTCAAAGAAGCTCTTTTTGCTTTTCGTGGTCGTCGATTTGTTGAATGGTTTTTTATGAATCGTCCTCAACTTCCTCTCATTTGCGGTATTACATTCTATACATTTTTGTATCTTCATTATAAATATGATTTGATTGCTCGATGGAAAGGTCAACCAACTTTTAATGATTAGTATGTATTTATAATATTAATAAATCATGTCGTTTTTGTATATGAATATATTTTGTTTTATCTTATTATAGCTCCTATGTTAAACAAGCTGCTGAACGTGAACGTACTCGTCTTGCTGCACTTTCTTCATCTCCAACGTCTACTATTCCTCCATCTCAATCATCACCTTCTTCAACCGGCGTTAATTAAATATGTCATCGTGTTTTTGGTTTTATTCATCGATGAACATTTTTTTTTCAGTTTATATGCATGTTTGAGAGCCATTGAAACATTTGATAGTTCAGCTAGCACTTTTCACATCAATAAATAGTTATATAGATGATGGTCTTGACTTTAGTAGCATACTTTGTGTGCCTTTTTTTCATTGTATAGAACTTTTGATCTGTTAACAGAAAAAAATAAAAGATTTGGAAATGAATCCAATTAAGTAATGGTTGACGAGATTTAATTTTGAATAGATATAAGTGTCTATCAGTTCGAAATACAAATAACGTATTAGATAGATTTGTTCGTTGAAACAAACGGTATAATACTTTTGTATGATGATATGCCAATGCTTGAGAATTTGAAATGTTGTTTGCAATTGAATTTGAAAAATACTTTTTTGCTGTTCTTCTGTTTATATAACGATAGAATAAGAGAAATTGTGAAAAAATTTTTTCTAATCAAAGTAAAACAAAAGTATAAAACCAGTATATCTATCTCATTTTATATTTCGTGCAACGAATTTCTTCAACAACCGCAATAAACGAAAATCGTTTCAAAAAGTTACACATGTGTTTATTTAAATGAATGATCGTCAATTATAACGAACATCTCATATTCAATTTTATTCTAATATGCATTTATTAAATTATTTTTAATTGGCCATTGACTTTTTTTCACACCGATCCCGATAACTTCTTTTCTAGTAGGCTCGGTCGCAATAGTTTTAGTTTTCGGGATTTCGGTCTAGAGAATACTATTCTAGAATTTATTCGTATTACATCTAAAAGCATTCTTCGATAATCATTTTTTTTATTTATTTAGTTGATGACTAGCACTTTTTTGGGTCATCTCTCTTGAATTATGTGCTGATTGATGATTTATGAGATAATTCGCTTAAAACCATAGAATATTTAACTATAAACTTGAGTTCCTGTCGGGATACCTCTTTTCTCATAATTCTGATCCCAGTCGCCGTAGCTTCTCTTTTCCATAGTCTCCGTCCTAATCTCACACATCTCTAGTACAGATTCACTGAATAATGCTCTAGACAAATTAACTTCTAATACATATTATATTTTAGTAAGAGAAAGTGTAGGATCATTTATTCGTCATAATCGATTATTAAGATAAAGTGTTGAACATATGAATCATATTTTACATAAACGTTTTCAAGCTAATGATTCATTCATAGGAAAATTAAAGTAGGGATCAACAAGTTAACAATAAATATAAGTTTATTAAACGAATAGAAAAATAACAAAGTCAACTTAAACAAATTAAATTTAACAAAAAAACAATCAGATTTACAAAATGTTCAAAAAATTCGAAGGAAATTTTACTTTTCTTTTCTTTCAAGTTTATTATTTTGAATATCGTCCATTATATACAAAAACAATTGAAATTATAGTTATCTATCGAACAACAAGCACGAGTTAGGAATGAAATACGCATAGCTCGAACGATTTCTACTTAGTTTTCTATTTATGTTGATATGCTTTAAATTGAAAAAAAAGCTATAGATGTGAACAATCATGTATGAATTTTACTGTTTTCATTAAAATTTGAAAATATTTGAAATTCAGAATTCCATATTTATTTTATATTCTGAATCGATAATTTAAATGCAATGTTTTTTTTTGTACATATATTCTTCATAGAAGAAATTTTATTATTTACTTAATAAACATAGACATGATTAAGAGTCAAACAAAGCTCCAAAACAAGGAATATCTTTGCGCCACAGTGCATTAATCACTTCAATAGTAAATTTTTCATTTGATACAACAAATACAGCTTGTGAATTTGTTTTCCAAAAATGTTCTTCTACTAATTGAGGACCAGGTCGTCCACTAACTGATGTATCATATAAAGTACAATGTAGATGCATTTTTTGGACTAATTTCCAAACATATTCTCCATAATTCTCTTCATGTTTTTTAGCAATCCATAAAATATGTGTATGAGTTGTAGGTAATGGATCTTTGATATATGGTAATGCGGGTGCAATACCAGCACCCGTACATACAATTAATACTTTTCGATAAGCATGAATACTATGCATAAAACCAAGACCTTTTATTCGTCGAATTCATACATGTTGTGGTAATTTATTATTTCGATAATCATCAGCTAGAGTTTTAGTCCAATCTCCAGCAGCTGCAATTAATACTGAATGTTGATCTGTACATGGATCCGTAAGAGCAATAGCAAATGCATGCCATTCATGTCCATCAAATGAAATACGTGTGAATGAACCATATGGATAAAGTGCATGAGGAAATGTCAAAATAGTTAAATCTTTTGATGGTTGATTATATTGTACGAATACTTTACGAACACATATCCACGGTAAAAAGATAATAATAATAATAGCCAATAAAATTAATACAGGTATATTGAATAAAGTTTTTGTATTAAAAGAATCAAATTTCTCTAACTGAATAAAGATTACATGAATAATAAGTATGATCAAACATGTCCAACCAATATAACGATGAATATGTTCAAAAGTATTATGAAAACGACGACGAACTATTGGTATTGCCGTTAATGAAATCAATAAAATAAGAAATAGAATAATTCCACCAGTTATTCTCACACCTAAGCCATGATGTTCACAACTAAGAGAAATTAAAAGCCAGAAAAGACAAGCAATGGCTGATGAAACATGAAGACCACCAATACAATGTAACATTCGATTAAATTCATATTTAAAACATGGAATTAATGCTACAAATCGATGGAGTAAAGCTATAAAGATTTCATTTCGTACAAGTACTCCAAAAAGTAATTCACAAATAGCTATAGTACCACCTGAAACTTGAATTATATGTGTAAAATAGAGTATACACAAAGCAATTGTTACTAAAACATGAATTATAAGCCATACTTGATGACAGGTTATACAGTCAGGAATTGTACTATGATACCATGCTTTGATTGGATGCATTTTTCTAGTAGACGATATCATCAATTCATCTTCAACAGTTATTCTTATTTCACCATTTTGTGAAATAGATACGTCGTCAGAAAATGATTGTTGATTAGATTGAGTTTCAATTTTTTCAAGGATGTTATTATCAATAGGGAAAAATTCTAGTGTAGTATCAGATATAAACCGTTTCCGTTTAATACGAATAGCAGGTTCATTAGATATAGCATGTCGATATTTATTCCCATACAAAGAATTTATGACTATTGGACATTTCGAGTTCTCTAACTCATTTATGTTTTTGCACTTGTCATCTGCCATTTAGAAAAGTGAATATTAGACTCTAAAATCAAATAAAATCAATTATTGTTTCTGTAACAGAAAACAATAAAATGCAGAGATATGTGTTCTCAGCTGTGAATTTTAAAAAAATAGACTGGAAGTAGATATATACTCACACACCCACACATAGTTTCATTAAAAAAAATACTAATACATATTTTGATACAAACTTGTAGGTACATTTTGGCATAGCCACAGAACAGAAAAGAATAAACATGTCAGGAAAAGAAAAGAAAAACAATCAAATGAGGAAACAATGACTCCGATATTTTTGTTCATGAACAAAAGTAGAAGAGAAAAGGAAGGGCTTCACACAACAATATGTGAATTTATCACTGTCCGCAAAGTTTTTTTACAACATATACATCATGAAAAATAATATTATTCTCTACATCCTAGTGTAGTCAATTTGATTTATATCAACGATAAGAAGATGATACGACTCATTGGTTTGTGTAACGGAGACACATTTATATTCTACATGCTGATTAGACACGCCTTTCTTTGCTCTACAAAATGCAAATTGACACAACTTCTCTTTCTCCATTGAGAAACACTATATTGGTTGGAATGTGTTAAAATTGATATTGCTCTACGTATACCTTCATTGTGTAGTCACTTTTTCTCTGTAAACAAAATATAGTGTATTCGTGAAATTTCATGTGGGAAACGTACATCAATATTTCTTCAACAAAATCTATTTATTTAAAGAGTTTTGAAAATTTGTCAAAAAGTGGAATTCTTCATATTTATCTGATGAAATACTTTCTTTTTGAATAGTTCAAGACCCGACTTCGATAATTCGTATCAAAAGTAATACTTAAAATAAAATTTCGATATTAGAATCGAGTTCAGCATCAAATACTGGGTAGAATAGTATAGGCTTTAGCGAAAAACATTTTTTGATAAAAGATCTCTATATTCTTCTTCAGTTCTTTTTTTTCAAAATTTTTATTTGCAGTTCTCTCATGATGTCCTTTTATTGAAAAGTATTTATTACGAAAGTCTATATCATTCTACTCAATATTTGATGCTGAACTGAATGTTAATATCGAAATTTTATTTTATGCATTACTTTTGATAGGAATGCTCAAACCCGTATCTTAAACTATTCGAAAAGAGATTATTTTATCAGATAAATATGAAGAATTCCATGTTGGGACACATTTCCAAAACTCTTTGAATAAATAGATTTTGTTTGAAAAATATTGGTGTACGTTCTTTACATGAAATTTCACGAATGTACTACATTTTGTTTTCAAAGAAAAAGTGGCTACACAATGATGGTATACTTACAGCAATATTGATTTTAAGACATTCCGACTTATACAGTGTTTGGCAATGGAGAAAGAGAAGTTACCATGTGTCTATGTGGTCGATTAATATAGTCCTTATGTATCCATGTGCTTCCGATATACAAATCAATTAGTCATATTGTCTTTTTATTGCTGATAAAAATCAAATTGACTACGTTAGGATGTAGAGAATGATGTCATTTTTCATTATGTATACGTTGTAAAAAGAAAACCTTCTAGCCCGTGGCGAATTTATCACCGTATCGTGTGAATTCTCCAAGGAGAATTCCAATTCCGACGTACATCTCAACAAATCATTCCAACCTATTGAAGAACAAGCGTAAATGTAAAAAAAAAATTTAGACCCTCAGGTGAATAATAATCAAATAAAGATATCTATTTTATTACGAACCTAATTTTGTAACACATATTCATAATTTTATAAGCAAAATTCTATTAGATGACATATGAAGGTAGGTGTTCGATCACAAAAATTTACTTCTTTCTTGCTTTTAAGTCATATTATACAAAATGATTCTTATTTAGAATTCGGATCACATTTTATAGACAATATTCAGGTGGATACATGATATCTAAACAATGGAAGTGAGTCTTGTGTCATAAAATACAGAAAATTTATTGATTAATGATGTAGAAAGTGTTTCTGTAATGTATAGAAAACGGAAGCATATTCATCATTGACAACAGTAAAATGATCTTTTATGATATCTTCATATAATTTTCATTTCGTTCTTGACTGGTTATTATTAACTCTAAATAGGTAAGACGTTCATATCGTCGTGTTGTCATATGTTATTTTAGTCTGTTCTATTGATTTTCATATTATTTTTTCTGGTGCATTCTTTTATGTATTTCAAGTATCGTGTATTAAGGGAACTCTCTCTTCTCGGAGTTTGTGGAGAACGGATCATCAGAAAAATTTGAAATTTTCAGAACAGATAAATTTTGATGAGTAGATCAAAAGTTATCATTCCTGATGCTGTCTTCTATGAGATACTAGGATCACACTGATGAAAACTGATCCTGAATTTTCGTCCCCGTTCCTGTAAGATGCTACGCTCGATCAAGCTAAAAACTTTTTTCTCTTACAGGTACTAGACATTGTTTGAGATGGGTATATTTTTTTTAGTTTCTTTTTTATTTTTTGTTCTTTGACTAAAAATAAGAAAATATCGAAGGTATCCTAAAAAACGCATGTTTTTCTTGAATAGAGCTTTTTTGTAAGAGTTATCAAAAATCAGAAGAACAATATTTTTTGAAACAAAAACAAAATACCTATCACAAACAGTGTCTAGTATATTTGTGAAAAAAATTTCAACTCGATTCGATTAGCTAACGGGACGTTTCTGCATTTTGTTTCATGAAAAAAATCTTTTGAGAAAAAAAAGATGAAACAATGTACAATATTCGTTATTTTTCGTTATGTGAATTTGATTTCTTCCCGGATTTTTTAATGTTTAAAGGTAATTTTTCAGTCCCAAAATGTACTCAGTAGATAGATATTACTTGAAACTATATGATGATCACAAAAGACCAAAAATTTTAGCTCGAGAAAGGGAGAGGTTGTTGTTAGTATGCTGTACAGTAGATTAGAAAGTACAGCAGCATGGACAAGGTAATAAACAAAAGCATTGTTCTACTATAAAAGTAAAAGTTTTAATAACTTGAATCAGAACTCTTAGTCATAGATCAGATCTATCACCTTCACATCCTCGATTTAGAACAGTTTAACTATGTTCATTATGATTTAGCCTGTTGAAATTTTTTAGTGAATCCTAATAAATATATTGTTTAAAACTACTCATTTTGAATTATTGACTATTATTAATAATTATGATTCAGAACGACATCTCAAAAGACTCATTATCTGTTCATTGGTCAGCATCTGAAGTAATTGACAATAAAACTACTTATACGTATATTGCGCTTGGTATTATGGATGAATACATTCATAAACTATCATCAGATTGTTCTCATCATTTTTATCAATTAGTAATACATCAATGTTTAAGATTTGAATCACATGATTGATCAAATTTTGAAAAATTAAGATAAAGTTTGGATCAATGGATATTTTTGAACAATTTTTGCTCAATGTATACCATTAGATTTATAATTATGTTATTTATTCAGAAGTTCATCAGAACTTTCAGAAGGTCATGATGTTGAACTACTAGATGATGCCGTATTATAAAATCTAATACAAAAAAAGATCTGAGACTAAAGTTACGATTTATGCAGATGGTTAATTCAATTCTTCAATCAATAATAATATAATTGGTTTATTATGTTATTTAGTAAAATTGAGTTCTTGTCGATATATATTTGATTATACACATCTGTTAGTGATACAGCACACAAGAACTGTCGATTTTTGTATACCTGCTTCAATTTCTGAACAAAAATTATCATTATTACTCGGTATCTCTACTACATCTAGGCAAGAAAAATAATTTTTCTCTTTAAGTTTTTGTTTCAATTACATAACGATGTCTTAATGAGTTCGTTCATAAGTAAGAAATATATCAATTATCAAATCTGTTGTATATGAATCCATTGAACATCGTCGAACACGTATTGGATAATTTAGATTAATATCTAGGTCATATAGAGTATCTTCTTTATATAGTTCAGCACTTTCATAGAGTTAAATTGAATGGATAATCAATATTAAGTCTTTTACATACAATCCCTTTGAGTTTTTCTATTGTTATAAATTTGTTTTGAAGGGAAATTCTCTGTAGAATACCATAACACTCAATATTCACTGCATATCTATTTTCTATTACCATCTCCATAAGAGAATCTCTTGTGTATTGATGATATTTAATCATCATAATGGAAAACTTTTTCCAAGATACTGTATTTTTTATGTTACCAAAGGTTGCTTCTTTTTTTTCATGAGACATACATTTACTTCTTCCTGCTTTATGTATTCAGTATTGTGTAAATAAGAAAACTGAAAAACAAAAATTTTTTTTTTAATTTTCACTTCGAAAACAATGTGCATCAGACGAAAAATGAAAAATACGGAGCAGTTGTCTTTTCGTTTTCTTATTTTCTGTTAGTTTTTGTTTTGTATTTCATAGAAACAAATAAATTACATAATAACTAGGCATTGTTACTTGTTTGGTAGTAGTTTCCTTCTTTTTTTATCTTGGAAGTTTAGTCTAATGAATTCATGAACCGTGCATATCGTTATCTTTGTTTTACTGCATAACAAATCGATTGAATTTCAAATATAAATGCTAATGTAATGTAATATGAATAATCATTGTATTATATAACAATGAATTAATTAATCTTACGATTAAATATGGATTTTGTGTTCTTTTTTTCTATTATTATTTTCAGTATCACCTCTTTAAAATGGATACACCCCATAGTTATCAAGTTGAATATGACACGAGAATACAAGTCATGTCATCAAGAGTTTGTAAAACAGTATTTCTGATCATGAGAACAGTTTTCTCCAGCATTTTAACGCACCTGTCAAAATTGAATGGAATCATATTGACTTTATTTTATATCTGGAAGTTACACTTTTTGATTTACGTCTGTATACAACAATACTTGCGATTTGTATTTATTAGTCATTACCGAAAAACAAGTTACCATTTGATACGCCGACAGCAACACGTTATTTAGATTTTATCGTATCTC